CTTCAGCAACATGAGAGCTAAAATGAAATTGTTTCAAAGGGACTTAAATGGGCAATGCAGAACAACTGTACAAAGGTTTAGAGAGTTAGGCAGGTGTAGTGTTTATCCTGAACAATAAGATGCCCTTTAGTCTCCCTAACTGTCTTGGGATTGTAATACTCTGACATTAGGAAATGCCTGCTGAGGGTACTCCTGTGGCAATTACTGTAGATGTCAGTTCTGACTTCTGAAACATCACCACTTTCCAACCCAGAGATGCAAAGCTCTCAGGGAACATGCCCAGCCTCTCTCCTGACACATGGGTATCTGTAGCCTGCACTCTGTGTCCTGAAACTTGAGAGTGTGAAATATCATAGCAGGCATTAAAAATGGAATTTAACAATTAGAAAATCTTTCTCATACTTTTGGGATTAGACAAGTTATAGATGATTTTGATTTGATAAAGATTTTAAAAGGCTGCTGACAATGACACTTTACATGTAAGAAAAAGGACATTGGAGTAAGAGAGATTGCCTACAAAGCTGCAAAACTTTCTTTTGGTAAATCTCTGATCTCTCCTCCTACTGGAGAATTTCCTTTAGATTTTTCTTATTCAGAGAAGAAACTTTTTTTTTTTTTTTTTTTTTCTGAGGAAGATTCACCCTAAGCTAACATCTACTGCCAATCTTCCTCTTTTTTGCTTGAGGAAGATTTGCCCTGAGAGAACATCTGTGCCAACCTTCCTCTATTTTGTATGTGGGTGGCTGCCACAGCATGACTGATGAGTGTTGTAGGCCCGCGCCCAGGATCTGAACCCGTGAACCCGGGCCGCGAAAGTGGAGTGCGCCAAACTTAACCACTACACCACAGGGCTGGCCCCCAAGAACATTTTTTTAAATTGAAAAAGTAAATATAACATGTAGATTTTAAACTTAGCATGGGTACCAGTGACTACTTGAGAGGCAGAGACAGCCTCTGTTTAAAATGTTCTGGTCACTCAGAAAGACTTCAGCATGAATACAGAGTATAGGAGTTCCAACTATTTGTCTAAATTTGGGGTTCAGAAGCATGGTGGTAGATACGTAGAATGTCATATGACACAGCTATTCTTTTATACAGAAATTTTTTCTACTTTCTTTCCTACTGCGCTTTGCTATTGTTTCTTGGGTGGAATATGCTGCTTTAACCCGGCCATCACCAAAAAATGTAACAATTGTTACTCTGGGATACAAGACTCAGAATGCAAACGACCCAGTAATTTTTGTTGCCATTTCTAAAATTAAAATTAATTTAATTTAGTTGGCTTAAAATCTGGAAGGGATTTCAGAAATCATCTGGAGTTCTAGACCAACTTCTTCAGTTTGTGTGTACTAACTATACTGAGTCTTAAATAGGTGACATAACTTCTTGAAACTCACTTAGACAATGAATGGCAGAACTGTGGCTGGAACTCAGATTTCTAGATTCCTGATCCAGCCCCTCTTCCCACAACCCCATTTCAAATTTTGTAAGTCTGAAGTATGGTGGAGACAGCATGGATTTTGAAACTAGAGAGAGACAATATCAAAGTCTGGTTCAATAGCTAACAAGTCACTTATCTTCTCTGAGTGGGAGATTCCTTAACCTGAAAATAAGGATGAAATGGGGATGATGGAATCTTGCTCCAAAGGGTAGGCATGATCTAGGTCAAGTACCCAGCTCATTTCTGGTACACCGAGGTGCCCTAGGAATGGTGGTGATGACAGCTAAGCCTATTATTATTATTTTGAGGATTTGATAAGATTAGGGATACACCTTAAACTCAGTTCCTTCCATTAACAGCATGGATCCGCCATCATTTATTTATCGTTTTTTGAAGTTATTTCTATGTTAAGCAGAAAGTGTTTTATAAGTTTAACCACTTATGGAGTGAAGTAGAATGTCTTTGTATTTGTCCTAATATTAACTCTTTTAATCTTCAAAGGGTACTTCTAGTTTTAATATTTCAAGATCTGATGTAAAAGCCTAAGACTATCCTATTTATGGCCTTTAAGATAATACAGATTTTAATCACCCCCTTCTTTACGGCTTTGAAGTTAAGAAAATAACTTTCCATGGGGGCTAGAACAATAATAATAGCAGTGCAAGATGCTCAGGACGCTGGGTGATGGCATATGGCTGTGTGGCCTGTGCATGGACAACTGTAGGAGGTACCACTCTCCTTTGTAGGTGCATACCAAAACAATGGACACAAATCTAGGGCCATGGTCATTTTTTGGCCTTAGTCACTGCTACAATTATTTAAATAGAACCCTAAAGTATTTCATCACAAATACCAGGAACAATTAAGACGCTTAATTGATCAAAAAGTTTTTGAGGCCAGAGACACCAGAAGTAATTAGTTACTATTCTCAGGGTAAGTTTCACAGAATTTTCAATCGTCTTTCCATAGGTAGGGCATCATGCAGAAAAAGATTATTTAGTAAAACACATGAGTTCTTTTTTAAAGTATTGGTATTAGAGACAGGATGAATATCTGTCTTGCAGAATAATTTTTTTATGTAAAACTATTGCTATGTGTGGTATTTTCAAAACTAAGCCAATTTCATCTGGGTAAAAAGCATATCCTTCTTGAGGAGTTAAGCTCTCATATTGCATGGCCAGAAATTGTGGCCCCTGTACCCTTATGTGAGTTGGTTAAAATCTCGAAGTGTTGACTCACCATAGTGTGTGCCTGTGCGTGTGTCATGCGTTTTCCTCCGCATCTGAAGTTAGGAGGCTCCATTTCCTTACTTACTCAGGAAGTACTTAATTGGAATAGCAAAAAGTTTGTCATGATGCCTGAATAAAATTGTTCTCTTCAATCTTTTATCTGTAATAGACTAAGGTTGCTAACAGTACTTATAGGGTCACTATTTTCAAGTGTTTCTTGACACCTAACAATATTATTTTAAGCTCCAGCCAAGTGGATTTCCAATAATTATATAATGTCTCTCAGTAATGATCTGTTGCTTAAGATACACATTCTACTTTACCTTTCAACACATACTTGATAACCTCTCATTTACTAACTGTAATTGAGGCAAATTCAGTCTCGGCTAATTAGGGGCTCTGAGTACCCCCTCGTACATGTTATTCTTGATGACATATCAATAGAATTAGAGCCTACTTTTTATTTTTAATTACAGTAATAAAAATATGCAACTTAAAAATATTAGAATGTTTAAGGACATTATAACTATTTTACAAATAACAAGTCCAGTGTTCTATTAGGGATATGCAAAATAACAAAACCATCATGACCAAAACAGAATGGTTGCTTTTCAAAGGTTCCTTTTAGAAGCAAACCCACAGCCATGTCAGACGGTTGGGTATGGAAAGGAAAGTATACATAACAAGGACAATTAAACTAACACATCATTTCAATGTTGGTCTCCTTGCATCCACTTTAGTTAGCTCCCTTTGTTATTGTTGCCACACAAAAAGTCTTCGAAAGAAGTTTGGTGAATGCAGGGGAGTTGAAGTGGGGAGTATCTTTATGGAGAAAAAATTCTACCTCTGTTACGTACTGATAGCAAGCTTTGTAGTAAATATGTAACCAAGACAAAAAATTGAAGATGTTAACACAGACACACACACACGCATATACCTACCCCTATCTACAACGGCCTATTTCCAGGATGACTTTACCTTTTTCACCATTGAATATGTGTTTTACTATACTTACACTAAGAAGAAACATACATCAATTCAACTTTCCTTTTCTGATGAATATTTTTGAAAATTACCACATAAGCAAAAAAAAAGTAAAAGAGAACTTGGAAGTGAAACATATGCTGGTAAATTCAGAGCAATACCAAATGGAAGCAGAAGTTGCTAATATGGTTTCAGTATTTTGTAAAAGAGCCAGCTGGATGGATGATAATTTTTCTACCCCTGCAGGGCATCAAAGCTTTTAGGAAATCATTCTTTTCACACATATTAACACTTAGCTTATTAAAACAGATGATACTTTTATTGTAAAACAGCCTGGGTGGAGGCTAGAAACATAAAGTATGAAAGATAAGACTCATTTTGACCACCTAATCTGACAAAGAGTGAACACTGACAGGACAGACCATGGTGGGATGATGACATAGTAGGACCTGCTGTAACTGTCACAGCTGAAGTGTCACCATGAAGCCCGTGAATTGCTGTTATGAAAACATTTGCAGTAACTTGCATAATTAAATGAAACTGCCAGAAAAAGCGTTTCTAAAATGCAGAGAAGATGTACATAAATAAATACAGTTCAGAGCAAATATTACATTTCAGAATCAGCATTGTGGTGAATGATGCAAAGGTATGTCATAGGCAAAGTACCATTTCCTTTCATTTGACTTAAATAATTACAAATGAATGACAACACTGTTATTGAAATGGACTGCTCTCTTGGTCTCCTTTACAGATATTCAGTAAATGAAACTTGATGATCATGGTATCTAAAACCACAATCCTGCATTCCCAGCAGTGGCCATGCCTAAATGAACACTTTCCTACTGATAAAATGGCAGTACTGTATCTGTTAGCACACATCAGTGCTGTAAATCATGATAAAAAGTTTCAGTTAATAGTAGAGTGACAGGTATTTGGCTTTACTGCAGCTTATTTCTCTGTTGAACGGAAGAATATTATATGGACTTAAAAAACCTTTTACAGTAGGGGCCAAATCCGTTACAACATGATTCTGTTATGGAATGCTGCAAACGCGAGGGAAATTACGCTGTACACGATGGTAAACTGATTATTGTCTTGCTTGTTAAAATTAACCTTAAAAGGTTTTTGAGACTCGCATTCTAACAGTGACAGTTTTCATGTACAAAAAGAAGCCAATTAAGGCTTCTGTCAGCAGTCAAAGAAATAAAAGCATCAACTATATCAGCTGCATAGCAGAAAAGGATCAAAAAAGGAGAGTCTGCTTTGCAAACATACCATCAAAATGCAACTTTCTCCTGCACAGTGTATCTATAATGCCAGCATACCTTGCAAGGGGAGTTACTTACATCAAACAGCCTTTCTATATACATTTCCTCATTGATTTTTTCTCGAAGAATATCCTGGTTTTGCCGAACAAACATAATATAGGTGTCTGCCAGATCCATTCCTGGTTTCTGTCGTAAGGGAAAAGTATGGAGAATAAAACAATATCAGGTCTTAATTGTGAAAATGTTATTTAACCACAATCCTAGAAAATCATTCACTATATCATTTTAAAAATTACACCAGAAAAATTTGCTCAACACCAAATCAACAATGAGCACCTTCAGTATTAATTAAATAAAAGTTTATTATCGATGCCTGTAACTTGAGGTCATAGTTATTCATTATTATTAAAATGATTAGAAATATGTGGTTGTAAACTAGTACTTTTTTTTTTTAAAATGGCTATCTTGAAAGATCAATGTACCACAGCAGTATAAATGAATAAATTTTTCAAAAAATTCCCATATGCAATAATCATTTCCTAATTGCAAATACAATTTACTTTTCATCATTTCTGGCTAGTTTATTCATATATATTAAAAACAAAAATGTTAGTTTTCCTTGGGTTCCCTTCCTCAACTACTATGGGTGCTCAAGGAATACAAACTAAGTTTTCTTATTAACCTGAATAAAACATTATTAGAATGATAATGGGCAAAAAAATTTAATGTATTACAAAGTGAAACATTAACCAAAATTTTGTGCATTATCCTTGCTTCTACTCATTCATATTTATCAACACTATTCCAAGGATTTATCTTACTTTAGAAATGCAGTAAGAACCAGTCTCTGATGAAGAGCCAAAGGTGTGGATTACATAACTTTCCAAAGTTATCCAACTTTTGGTGTCTTCTAAATGTTAGAGGAAATAGGGCAGTTAATCTAATTCTTCCTTGCTACGGAGTCTACAGTCAGTACTAGGAAAGCATAAAAACTTGAATGGCTCCTAAAGAGTTTTCCTTCTAGATCTACCTTTAGTTCTTTCTTAAGTTTCATATAGCAGGACTAGCAAATGAAAATAGTTATTTGTATGATCTACACCTGGGGTTGATTCATAATCTTTATTGAGTTATTCATTTGATTAGAATACGGCTTTAATAATAACAAAAGGGTAGAACTGATGCCCAAATAAGTCAGTTAGTCTTGCATCATTTCATATCCATAGAATGCACTTATTACCTTCACCAATAGACTCATTTTGCAAAAGTAAATATGGCAAAGAAATAAGGTGAAAGAGGATATGGATCATTTAACTATTACACCTGCTGGAAAAACAACTCAAGGTATACATCCGAGTGATGCTAGGACAGTGGTAGCGCCTTCTCCTTAAACAAAGGACAGAAAGTTCTTACCACTTTTTTTTGGGGGGGGAGGGAGTATATTTTATATACAATGATAAAACTGCCCATCTCTTAACCAGTGCACAGTAGAGGCAATGAGTACATCTCACTAATAAAAATTAATTTGATTTTTTGGTAACAAAGTTATTTCAGGGTAATGAGAGTCACAGCAAGTTCTTACTGCTCTTATATTTAGGCTAATGGGAAATATAAACCACACAAATTCAAGGATGCCTTCTAATATAACTGATATAACAAAGTTATCAGTTATAATTTGAAAGAACTACTTATATAAATGTCTCCACTGGTCTTTCCTTCAAGAGCATCCACACACAATGTAGGTAATATATTCCAAACCTAATAGAGGCAATTTACCAAATTCATTCCTTCACTATTTTTCTGCATAATTCTCATACGCAATGTTTGAAAGTTCAAATAAAACTACAAGGATAATCACGAGAAATCTAGGTTGGTTTCTTCTTTTTTGGGGGCGGGGAGGGGGGAGTGTTATACATCAGTTTTTCCAGTGAAGAGGCAGAGTAATTTGTACAAAGATTACTACTATTAATATTTGAGGACAACTAACCCACAGGTATTTCTCTCTGTGCCAGTCAAACTTTGTCAAAACACTGAAAATGAGAACATTCAGAAAACATACTGCTGCAGAATGAAAATGACATGAGAACAATTTTCTACATATTATAATAACAAGTTAGCTCAGCTGAGCTTCAGTCAGGTGCCTGGAAACAAAATGCTCTGATGTATATAATATCAAGGCAGTTGCGTGCAGCCCAGCTGACCTGGGAATTAAAGAATAGACAAATGAGAGGCTTGCCTTCTCCACCATTTCTTCCCATCCCGACCCCATTTTTATTCCTGCCTTTCAAAAGAAAAGTATGCTTAGAAGTTTAATCTAGTCAATCATCTGACCCATCAGACTCATTGGAAACTAAGTTATGGCCAGAAGGATTGGAGAATAATGACTTTAAACACTTGTGATGGACTCTAAGGTAATTTTTTCTGTTTCCTTGATCACTTTCAAGATAACGTTAGACATTATGAAACAGTCCAGGAAGAGTTTATCTTTTATCACCTAAAACTAACTAACACTTTACTGTTAAGCCTAAAAGAAAACTAAATGCTGTTCCTTTTGGCAGACCCAAGGAATATAATACTGAAATCTGTAGGTTGAGACAGTTTCTACAACTTTCTAAGGAAATAAGAATCTCTGGTCGAGGGAATGAGGTAAAGCTCATTTAAAAGTTTATTTCAACAAATTTCGGTTTGAAATTACATTTTGTCCCCCTTCGGCAAATTAAGATCCACTTGCCTGGAAAACAAAACCGAGAATTATTACATTCCTCATTAGCATTATTTCTTCCTTTATCTTTGAGCTGTTTACCTATTCTTGAAACTGTGACATATGGGAATTTCACACCTACTGAATATATTTTCATGTAGCTTGTGGCACGAGACTATAAACATTAGAAGAATATACACAAGTAAGAGTAACTGTAACAGCTGGTGACATTTACCAATTAGAATTAGAGTTCTCTAAAACACTTTATCCTTCCTTGGTGTATGAAGGGTAATTATCTCTGATAAATTGCTGAAAAAGATGTAATTTTCCTTTTAAACAGTTTCTACTTACAGTACAAATGTGTTTGGATAGAAGACATTATCGCTGGTTCAGTGCTCCTTCGTGCAAAGATTCTGTTTTGTGGCAGTAAAACTTACATAGTTTAGAAGTCACTGCATCTAATTCCATTATTACATGTTATCTTATTAGGAGATGAAGTTTAGTTAAAAAAAAAAAAACTGAACACATTCTGTTAAGTTTTTGTTTTTTGTGTGTAAATGAAAAGAATGCACGTGACTGCATCGCAGAGACAGGATATCGCTACACATTCTGGTGCAAGTGGGCGTCCACCAACCTTATCCAAGGGGCAGCCTATTAAACTTCAACAACTGGGGATTTGGATGTTTTTATCAAGGATATTATGTTCTACGGAGTTATAATTAGAAATCTTTTCTATATTGGTAATTAAATTATAGTTATCTTGACAAATATGAGAAAATAATTAAAAACCACATAGCAAGCACGGTGTGTGTTAAATACCACTTAGAGAGAGTCAATGCCTTTTTTCATTCTCCCATTCAAACCTCTGAGACCCTCAGGTCACTAAGCACTAATTTCTCCGTCTCTAAATCAAAATAGGAGTTCCCAAATTACTCCTAATTTGATTCAGAAAAGAACAGAATTTGGCTAACAAAGTTATAGTAAAAGGACACAAAATCTAAAAAAATTCCCCCTGAGCATAAAGAAATCAATAAACATGGAAGGAAATGAAGTATGGTAAGGTGAGTTCTTCCGACACTGGCTGCATAAGTAATACAATACACCAGTGAGTGAATGAGTTTAAGTAAGGTGCATACTTCAGCAAATTTTTTTCAAGCATTAATCACTAGTTAACCTAGTGAGATGGACATGCTGTTTAAAAAGAAAAAAAAAAATTCCATGTTAATTATATGCTGCAAATGCTCTTACTTCCTGATGCTACACCTAATCCCACAGGTGCGAGCCTTCACTTTCCCCATGCATGGGCAGGTGGGTGCAATGCTCCAGCCATTCTTCACAGCAACAGATTTAGATACAGAAGAAGCCGCTTAACCTTCCACTGGAGGTTAACAAGACTCTATGCAAACACTGTCATGGTGTCTATTTAACAAGGAGACAAATTTCTAAATATACTATTCCAGTCTCAAAGATTAACTAGAAGCTACAGTATAATTGACTTAATTTGAAAGTGCATTTCTCATAACCTAGAAAAGCTTGCCTGAAGAAACAATCAAGAGTGGAATCCTGATATCCGGATTTTTGAGGATCCGTATGGTTCCTAAACAAAGTACCTGCATCTGATCATTATTACCACTTGAAAAAAATGGATCTTGTAAGATTTAAAACAATAGTATGTCTTCTCAATTTGAAATTGTAATAGAAACAATTTATATCTCAGCTGTGGCATTTCACATTCGGGAACAGTCTATCATTGATCATCAAGGAACATAGGACATAATCATACAAACACATAACTTATCCCAGGTATTGTTAACAACAATATATTTTTTTCTTTCACTATTTAATATATTTTTTTTATTACTTGGCACTTATGCAGCAATTTCTGTATTTTTATATTTGAGTGAAAATGTTCTTAAAGTTAAGTTTTTCAAAAGCATTTGGAGTAGTTTAAGTTATATGTTCTCAAATAGTTAAAAAAATAGGTTTTAAGTATAGCTATGATGATTATGTTGTAAAAAATATATATTTTACCAAATCTTCTACAAAGTAAAATAATTATATTGTATTCACATAAAATTCACATAAATTTTCTTTACATAGACAAGCAAAAGAAAATAAGCAGAACTGAAGCCTTCAAACTAGATTTATCCTAACATATATGAGCCCAGGAAAAGGAATAATTTATAAAAGGTGGGAGGAAAACATAAAGGAGGAGAAGATATAAAATTTCCAAGGTTTTCTAATAATAGCTTGTCTAATTTTTTAAAACAATGAATGAAAAAATCCTCATTGTTTTAGAAAAACTCCCAACAGCAGTGATTTCATATCAGGCAGTGAACTGTGACAGAGTAACCTTTCTCTTTGTTAAATTTAACAGTATTCAAAATTCCATTAATTAACACTATTGTGCATTTTGACTCCAAATTGGGAGGTAGAAAATTCTGAATTAAAGATAATGGCACCCACTTCCTTTGAAAACATCTTTTAG